AGGGCAACAAATCATTACTCAGAAAATTGATAAAAGGAAAAAGTTAAGCCTTTTCCCTGTCTTTCCTACACAATCTGAATTTTAGGAGACCCAAACAGTTCATGAGGGGAAGTTCTTTATAGACAGAATTTCCACCTAAAAAATGCAAGAGGAATGATATCAAAAAAGACAAGAAATAAGCATTGGTGAGGATGTGGAGAAAAGGGAACCCTTGTGCACTGCTGGTGGGAATGTAAACTGATGCAGCTACTATGGAAAACAGTATGGAGGTTCCTCAAGAAATTCAAAATAGAACTACCATATGATCCAGCAATTACGCTTCTGGGTATTTATCTGAAGAAAACAAAAACACTAACTTGAGAAAACATCTGCACCCCCAGGTACACTGCAGCATTATTTACAACAGCCAAGAAATGGAAACAACCTAAGCATCCGATGGATGAATAAAGAAAACACGGTATATTAAATGCAAAGGAATATTATTCAGTTATAAAAAAGAATGAAATATTGCCATTTGCAACAACATGGATGGACCTTGAAGGCATTATGCTAAGTGAAATAAGTCAGACAGAGAAAGACAAATACTATATGATCTCACTTATATGTGGAATCTTAAAAAAACCCAAAAACCAAGCTTATAGATACAGAGAACAGACTGGCAGTTGCTGGGGTGAGGGTGGGGGTATGAAATGGATGAAGGGAGTCAAAAGGTTCAAGCTTCTAGTCATGAAACAAATGTCATGGGGATGTAATGTAGAGCACAGAGACTATAGTTAATAATACAAAACTGCATATTTGAAAGTTGCTAAAAGAGTAGATCTTAAAAGTTCTCATCACAAAGGAAAAATATCTGGGGCCGGCCCCGTGGCCGAGTGGTTGGGTTCACACGCTCCGCTTTCACAGCCCAGGATTTCGCTGGTTCGATCCTGGGCGTGGACATGGCACCGCTCGTCAGGCTATGCTGAGACGATGTCCCACATGCCACAACTAAAATATACAACTGTGTACCGGGGGAATTTGGGGAGAAAAAGCAGGAAAAAAAAAAAGATTTTAAAAAAAAGAAAAAAAATCTGTAACTATGTATGGTGATGGATGTTAACTAGACTCATTGTAGTGATCATTTCACAATACACACAAATACCAAATCATTATGCTGTACACCTGAAACTAATATAATGTTGTGTGTTAATTTTACCTCAATAAAAAAAAGAAAAAAGTATAGACACTAAAAAAAAAGAGGAACGATAGATTTAGATCATCACCATTGTGCAGCCCCCAATGAAATGGATCTAGGCCACAACCATCGATGTTGCTAAAATCTTAGGTGAAAGGTAAGCTGACTCCACCTGAACCCACTAACCAATCTTAACATCTCAAAAAGAGACATCCAGACATCATGCGTCTTGTGATGTGATGCAACAGATTTTACATAGCACCACCTACAAAGGATGTGTGCCTTTGAACCTGAATCTAATCAGGCTTCTACATCTAACTGCCAGATTACAGGAAACAAGAAGAATAGAGGAACAAATTAAATGACACCACAAGCAAGAAATCAGCCCCGAAAGTGGGATATTCTACTAAACAAATGACCCGCTCTCTCACCATCAAATCAATGGCATGAAAAGGGGTGGGAGGTACCATTATAAAATAAAATAGATTTTAAAACCTAACAACCAAAGGCAATGTATGTACCTTGTTTAGTTCCTGATTCTAACAAATCATAAGTAAAAAGACATCTTTGAGAAAACTCGAAAATGAGAATTACATTAAGGAATTATTGTTAATATTTTTAGGTGTGAAAAGGCAGAGAAGTTTTTTTTTTTAGAAAAAAAGTTCTTATTGGAGATGTAAACTGAAACATTTATGAGATGACATGATGTGTAGGATTTTGCTTTTAAATACATCAGCCCCCTCAAAAAATGTGGGGAAAGGGAAAATATATGAAACAAGGCTGGCCAAATTTCTAACTGTCGAATTGGGTGTTTATTATACTGTTCTCTCACAATCTCCATAAGACAAAGTTCTAAAAAAAATGGTTAAAAGGTTTGGATGGGAATTCAAGGTGTGCCTGATCTTACCACTGATTTTTAGGAGGTGCTAGGGTCCTCCCACAAAGCAAAACTTAACCTAAAGAGTCCACTTAGCATAAAGATGTGCAAAGAATCTTAATCAATTTGTGTTTTCAATTCAACATAAGTAGAAGTGACTGAACCAAGGAACCAGGAGTTCTGCAGTATTAACCAAATGTCAGCTTAATTTTTCCCAGTAAGAGATTTCATATACGGCACCCAGATTGGGCAACACAACCCACAAAGAGCTCACTTGGTGACAGTTGGTATCAGATTGTGCAGATTTGTTGGAGCCCCAGGCAGCATGGACAGGAGCCACAAGTATTCCTAAATCAGATCTTGGTCAATACAGACATTGCAAACTTTCTTACCAACTTGTGTAACATGCAGAGCTGCTTTTCTCTCTTTCTTTCTTTTTTTTTTTTTTTTTTTTTTTTTACCAATGGTAGTGAATTTGTGTTAACTTGTCCCTATAACCACTCAGTTGTAGTCGGGAAGCACAGCCCATGAGATACTAAAGGTCCACAGAAGGATCTATGCCATGATTTGTTAGCATCAGTATCACTGCCCTGACCAAGGGGTAACCAGATGACCCTGGAGGCTGGCAAGTCACCAACTGGTTTGGTACATATTTCACCTGTTTTTCTCTTTCCTTCAAACCCATTCTGTTATGGACCAAATGTTTGTATTTCCTCAAAATTCATACATTGAATCCCTAACCCCCAGTGTGACGGCATTTGGAGACGGGGCCTGTGGGAGATATTTAGGGTGAGACTAGGTCATGAAGGTGGGGCCGCCATGATGGAATTAGTGACCTTATAAGAAAAGGAAGAGAGCTATCTCTCTCCCTCCATGTGCACCAAGGAATGGCATTCCTCTCCCTGTGGGGACACAGGGAGAAGGCGCTATCTTCAGGCCAAGAAGAGAGCTCTCACCAGAAACCAAAAAAGCTGGCACCTTGATCTTGGATATCCCAGCCTCCAGAACTGTGAGAAAATAAATTCCTGTTGTTTAAGCCACCCAGTCTGTGGTATTTTGTTACGGCAGCCTGAGCGGACTAAGACAGGTACATATTCACCTATTTTTCTTTCTTTCAAATTCCTTCCTACCTCTTTGTAAGGTGAAGTTTCCAAAATCACACAGGTGGTTCCAAAGACAAAGAAGGGGAAAATAGTTGAAAATCATGGGTTTCCAACATTGAAAAATTTGACAGTCTTCCTCCAATAAAAAACTGGCCATATGCTAATGAAATGTGTTTGGAATGTCCCAAAGAGAAGTCATACAGTATCAGAACCAAAGACAGGTCAATAAAGTATACATTATTAGAAGTAACTACATTTAGAATAATTAGGAAGATAACGATAAGTAGGTATATTAGCAAGGAGCACATCATCATCCCAGGCAGCGAGCGAGAAACACAAGCATGTGAACCTATGCAGATGAACACTACAGATCTAGCTATACACAAACCCTCAGCCATTCTCCTCACGGAGCACCTAGCTGCCCTCACGTCTTCAGTATCCTGTGCCATGAAAAAGTAACTGTCAAGGATAACAGGAACGCGATTTGACCTACTTTTCCCTAGATTCCTGCCAAGTCTATAACTCTGGTTCTTGAGTTTACTTAGCTGTCACATCTTTGGGACACATTTCCTCACTTTCTTTGCAGGCAATCCTGTATGCCACTTGTTAAGGTCACTTGTGGGCAGTTTCTAAACTCCCCTGGTCTGGACTTAAATATGTCCTATCACACCCAGCTAATCCTCAGAACATCTTCTGAGGTACATCATGGACAGTCATCCCCACACAGGACGAAAAATGCCCAGGAGAGGGAAACGCAGCCTAGAGAGGCTGAAGACCCACCTCAATTCAGACCCTCGCCTACCCAAAGGAAGCCACAGCAAAACAAGTGCTTCTCCCTCACTCTCAAGTTTCCACAAACCGATCTTTGCAAGAGCTGAAAGTCCTCCAGTGAGGTCTTCTTTTAGGCAGACAACCAAGACTTCAATTTTTTTTTTTAATTACAGCCCCCAAAATCTACATTGTTGCAGCTTCCCAATAAAGCCTGCTTAATGATGACAAATTTTTAAAGACCGAGTAGAGCCCACCAAAGGTGCCCCAAAGCCCTGACGAGCAGAGAAACCTGAGTAAGCCTGAGGCCCGGGCCGGCCGGCTGAGTGGCTTGTGAAAGCTCCCAGAAGCCGATCAGCAGGCTGTCCAGGTTCTCTTAACGTACAAAACATGTCTGACCTGCTCAGGCCATTGGATGCACTTAGAACCCAACAAGACACACTCCTTCACCAGGAGATCATATCGGAACACACCATCAGGAAGTCAGGACTGTAGATTCTAGGGGGCGTGCACCCCCTAAGGGGGCGTCACCAAGTCCTAAGCGCTGGCGACTCTGGAACCCGGGAGCTAGACGCTCGCCCGGGAACTTCCAACTCCTGGGTCTGCCCTCGCCGGTGCCAGCGGCCAGAGCCCGACCCGATGCCCAAAGCTTGCATGCAACAGGGCGTCCGAAACGAGCGCACACGTCCCACGCCTCCTGCAAATGGGGATCCCACTCGGGGGGCCTGAGGCTTGCTGTCGGGACAGGGCTGGCCGGCTGCTCGACACCCGGACACCTGCAGCTGCCCCTCGGGGGAGAGGCAAACAGCCCTTCTTCCGGCGATGCCCGCGTCCGGCAGCCTGAATTCACGTGCCCTTGGGTTAAGTCAGGTGCCACAGGGGAAGGAGAAACCGTCGTTCACTGGGGGGCACCCCACGACGCCGCAGTCCCAGGCTCCTCTGCTGCCCCGTCCGGCACCAGGGCGCCCTTCTGCTACCTCCCCAACTTCGAGACGCGCCCCTCAGCGGCCCGGGAGGGTGGGCGCGGGCTCCACGTGTGCGCCGCCCATGCCCACCCGGGCTGGGCCGGGCCACTCACCCGGCCGCCGCCGGCGCTCCGCTTTCTCCGCAGGGTGAGCCCGCTCCGCAGCAGCGCGGGCAGGTCCCGCAGCCTCGGCCGCAGCGGCGCCGGCGGCTGCTCGCGCTCCGGCTCGCGGGCGCTGGGGCTGCGGCGCAGGGCGCCGTCCGCCGCCGCCACCGCCGCGGCCAGGACCGGACTCTCGCACGGCGTCTGCATCTTGACGGAGCCCACAGCCATCCTCATGCCCCGCCGGCGGTGCGGCGCGGTGCGATGCGGCCCCGGCGCTCCTCTCCTCGCCTCCGCGCTCGCCTCCGCGCGCCGTCCGCGCCTTCGCCAGGCAGCGAGAGGGCGCGACTGCGGCTCGGCGCGGGGCGCGCTGCCAGCCGCGGCCCATTGGCGCGCGCCGCCGCCTCCCCCGCCCGCCAGGTGCGCGCGGCCCCGCCCCGCCGGCCCGCCCCCCGCGGCTCACCTCCGCCGGCCCAGCGGGCCCTCAGCCCCGCCCGGGCCCGAGAGGAGGAGGGGAGGACCCCTCGGGCACCGGCTCTTCCACAGGTGTGGACTTCCCAGAATCCTCCACCAGACTCCATCTCCCATCAGTTCCCTTTAGGCTGAAAAGTCCCGCTTCGCTCCCTTTTCCTAACAGCCAGGGTCAAGTTGGACTTCGACCAAGCGAACTGGGAGTCTGGGACACTCCTTCCTCCTCCCAACCCCTCCTTGCCTTTTGCACAGCCTAGCCCCAAATCGTAATCGCTATTCGTAGAAACGATTTTTGCCAAAGAACTTCAAAATAGACTCTGTATTCTGCTACAAATCGAACACCATTGAGACAGAATGTCCCGCCCCCCCCCCCCCCGCCCCTGCTGTCCTCTCTTTGGCACACTCATCATTAAAGGATAAGACGAGAAAACTTTTGTTGGTTATGATAGGTGTTTAGCAAAATAGGTGCGAGTCTGGTGACCTGAAGGTGAATCTCTGTTAACATGTTGGAACCTGACCTTCCCTGAAAGCCTGATGCGTGTGATGACTGGGCCTGGTAAACTGCGAGGGCCTCCTGTGGTGTGAATCATTGTTTACACCATTCCAGGAGCGCGGAATAGTGGAGCATTGAGAGCGAAGCTGTTCCAGCAGGGCCTTAAGATCCAGGTGGCTGTGAATCTTCACATCCCGGCTCAGTCTGTCTTCATCAAGGGCCAGCAGCTAGGACTTTTACTCCTAGTGAGTAGAACACTGGGGACACCGTTACCTAAGACTTCTGAGAATTGAATCGGCTTATTCACTTTAAAAAAAAAGAAGATAAAATTGACAAATAAAGATTAACAGGGTGTCAGGGCCCTGAGTTGATTTACCATGATACCCTCAGGCCCTCACAAGGTAGATGCTGGCAAATATATATGGAGATGTGGCCTTGTAAGGAAAAAGGAAGAATGATCTATGACCTCTGCCCAACTTCAGATTTGGCCCAAGAGTAAATAAACATATAGAAAAACAAAGATATTGCCTTGTACTCTTGGTAACTGCCAAGTGAGTGCGGATAATGAGCATTCCCAGCCACAGGAGCAAGAAATGCTTCTGACCTGGGGTGGGCAAAGAAAAGTCAATGAAGGGAGTTAAACTGTGCCTTAAAGCTGAGTGGGGGAGATTCAACCAGATTCAGATTCAGATGAATCTGAATTCAATTCAGATTTCATCCAGAAAGAGGGATGAAGGTCCTTCAAGTAAAGAGAGAAAACGTGAGAAAAACGCCAAGGTGCTGTGACACAGGACCTATGAGGCACTGAGAATGTGTCGTGCTGGTGGGAGAGAGGGAAGCAGGAGAAAATATCAGAACAGATGCTGATGACACTCTGCCGAAAACCTTAAATCCTGTCACTTTAAGCTGTGTGCGTTTACTGGAAAGGGCCCTGCAATAAACTTTATAGTCCATTACAGTTTCCAAATACTTATCACAGATATTTATTCAAGGCTGAAATTCCACTTGTATGTACCATATAAGGCTGCCCCAGTTTATATAATGTTGAAATACTTCCGCTCCGATTGGTAAGCAGTCATCGTCCTTAGCCCCAGAGTGCCACCCCATACTCCAAGCTTCCTCCTGAAACCCCAACTGAAAGTCCGGTAGACCTTTAGTCCTGGTCCAGGAGAGGCCCTCCAGGACACTTTCGGTCAACATTCATTCTGATTAGGGGGTACTTGTGCCCTTTCACTCTTGGTAATACCTTTTGAATCACACCATGAACTTACTCTGCTCCAAAACAGAACACATATGTTCTGTCTCCTAATCCAGATTCCTGGTCTTTGCTCTCTTTTACACAGCTTCTCAAAGCAAGACCAGGGAGTTTGGATTTTGCCTCATAGATTCTATGACATTGACCAAGGGTCTAAAACTCAATATCAGTAAGGGCCTTTGGAAAGTAGGCTTGGGTTAAAGGGATAAATGACAATTGCTATTCAGCTGCTGTGTAAGGCAGACAACAGGGAATAATAGGAACATGTAAACAGAACACCTGTGTCACTATTTAGCTCAAATCAAGCAATGGTCCCACCCCAGGATGTTTGCACTTGCTAACCCCTTTGCCTGGAATACTCTTCCTCTGCAATGCTGTCCAACAGAACTTTCTGGAATGGCGGAAATGTTTTCTGCTTTGTAACCACTAGCCACATGTGGCTATTGAGGACTTGAAATGTGACTAGTGTGCCTGAAAAACTGAATTTTAAATTTTATTTAATTTTAATTAATATAAATTTAGACAGCTACATGTGGCTATGGCCTACTTATTAGAAAGCAAAGTTCTACGAATCCATGTCCGTATCTCTATTCCTTCAATTTTTTGAAGTCAAATGTTTCCATCAGTGAGGCCTTCTGTGACCATGTGACTTAAAATCATAGCCCTTCCCATCCACTCCTGACCCTTCACAGAGCATATTGCCATCTAACATTTTATGCATTTTACTATTCATTTTGTCTATGGTCCGCCTCCCCACAATAAAAATGTAAGCTCCATAAGGGCCTGAATATTTTTTTCCTCTTGTTCAGTATCTAGAACATATTAGTTGAACAGTTGAGTTTTTGTACATATGAGAACCCATTTTTCAAAAGGAGCTTAATCTGGATTTTTACATAAAATCTCCTGATTTTGCAATGTTGAAAATTTAAAAGAAAATCTAAATCCTATATATGCCAACATCACTAAGGTCAAACAAAACCACTGAGTTACCAGAGCCGATTTTTACTTACATCAAAACTAAAGTTTATGGAGATACTTATGGTAAGAAAACACAAGTTTTCTTGGCTATTTGGAGTGAAGAGAAATTGGAGACCAGGAAGATAACTCTGACAATTAATGAGCTGCAGAGAGATGAGGATCTGAATTCGTGGGGTCAGTGGAAACAGGGGTGGGGGTTATGTGTCAGACGTTAAAAAGAAAGCTGCTCAGGCCTTGGACGTGTGTTGGGGGATAGAAAAGTACTTCCAGTGGTGTTACAGATTGTATTTTACAAAGATAACCAACACAGTCTCTCCTCTCCCCCAAGATCTTCTCCAATATGATCTTGCCACTCCTCGTGAAGAAATGGAGTTTATTTCTCGGTTCCCTTGAACCTGGGCAGCCCCGGTGACTACTTTGGCCAATAGACTACAGCAGAGGTAATGGTGCCAGTTCTGTAAGTAGCCCTTAATTGGTCTGCTAACTTCCACATCCTGCCTCTTGGAATACCCGCTCTTGTGATGCTCCTACTCAGAACCCGGCTTCCTTGCTGTGAGAAGCCCAAGCCACCTGGAGGGTGCCTGTGGAGGTACTCTGGCAGCTGAACTCCCATCCAACAACCAGCATCAATTGCCGGCCAATTGTGAGCCACTTTGGACCCCGAGTCCAGCTGAGCCCTCACATGACTCCTGTACTACCAACATCTGACTGCAGCCACAGGTGAGGAGCCAAAGCAAGAACTACCCCGTGAGCCCAGTCAGTCCCACAAACTAGGAGAGATACTAATAGATTGTTTTAAGACGCTAAGTTTAGAGGTATTTGTTATACAACAATAGAGGACTAGAACACATGGTTCAAAAAAGTGTAAAGAACATACTCCCTTGTGATAAAAAAGAAGGAAATTTATATTCATATTTGTATGTGAAGAAACTTGAAATTTCTTGCAAGTGGTGGGAATTGGCTACATGGGGAAAGGAAAGAAGGGAGATTTTTCATGTATGACTTTTTATATTTTTTGTTTTTTAAAAAAAATGTAAATGAGTTACCTCTTCAAAAAGTTAAATTTAAAAAATGGCTCCAGATTTAGAGAAGTCAGGGAGGTGGGGGAGCTGGTTTTGAGGGTTTTAGCTTTGCATAGCAGTTAAACTGGCTAAACTAAAGGGCACCCAAGTGAAAATCTGACCAGCAACAGCAGAGGGTGAGCAGGAACTCAAGAGAAAGGACTAGAGATGTAGCTATGCCAGTGTTGAAAAATATGATGGTAAAGGCTGGAACTAGACTAGGATGCTCAGGGCACAGAGGATGGGCAGACACAGTTACCCCTCCCTAAGCTGGGCCCTTGGAGAACATGCATCAGATGACTTTCCAGTCTCGGTTGTAGGAAATTTGGGGTAGTGAACTCTCATGGCTTTTCCTCCTTTACTTTTTCTGGTCCCATATGATTACCAAGAATACCAAGAAAAGAATCCGTTAGCTGGGCTTTCCCTCGTATTTTTCCACTCCCTTTGTACCTGCTTGTCTTCTGACAAATGTACAGAATGCATGTCATGCTAATGAGTCTCCTAACACCGTAGCTGTTAGGGCCTCCATGAGTCCTCCTTGGAGTCCATCCTTTCCCAACATTTCCTGTTTTTAATTTTGTCCCCATTTAAGATGTTTTGCATTGCTTTACCAGCTCTCAAAAATAGAAAACCTAAATAAAATTCTGTTTCCCTGTTCAAGCCTGCCAATGCTTCAGTATGTAATGATCAAAATGGATTGACTATGACATTCTGAAGGGCCAAGGTCGAGCAGTGGGAGATCAGAAGGCAGATCTTGCACAAGAAACCCAATGCTGTCCATACTACCTCTACTGAGAGTGCCTGATACAGCCATTTGTGTACCTGATACCAACACTATTTTTGTGTTTTCTTATGGAATGAATATGCAATTGGTAGAAACATAGCAAAATAATGAAACATGTTTCAAACCTAAAAATGTTAGGCCTTACTCATTTTATTTTATTTTTCGAGAATCATAAATAGATCTGCTATCAAACTGTTCATGACAAACCTATGTGATACTCTGCTATTATTTTTGTCGTACATCACACACTATGTG